AGTGCAACTGTTAGTTTTGAGAATGTCGTGCAGGGAACATCATATCAGACTGGTAGTCCTAGCTCGCCTCCTCAAATGTCTGTTGATGGGGGCTCACCAGGCAATGGGAGGCCTTCATCTCAGACAACTCCAGTTGTTAAAGAGTCAATCAATCTTTGGATTACATTTGGGGGCTCCAAGAAGAACCCCAACACTCCTCCTGTGGCTCAGCTTCCCCCTTGTAAAAGGAGGGAGAGGTGGTCGTAGAAAATGAGGATCCTTACTTGGAATATCCAGGAGTTTAATAACCCGAATATGAATAAAATTGTTCAACAACTAGTATATAGACATAATATAGATGTTTTAGTTATACTTGAACCTAGGGTAAGAGCAAGTAAGGCAGAAAAGATGATAAATAAAGATTTCTTGGTTGGGAGTTTAAAGTGGCTAATAACTCTGATGGCTTGGGAAAGCTGTGGCTTATTTTGAAGGCTAATGTAAAGATTAGTGTGCTTCTTGAAACCGATCAATTGTTTCATGTTCTGGTTGGCTATGGTACTCCCTTCTTCCTATCTTCTTGAGCAACAAGCTAAATAATTTAGACATGTTGAAGAATCCTTTTACATGCAAAAGTCTAGAGAGATCTGGTTAAAAGAAGGGGATGCAAACACTGCTTATTTTCATAGGTCAGTGAAAGTGTGGCATTCCTTGTATGAAAAATATCAAGAATGGAATAGAAGCAAGAAGCCATCGATACCCAAGATGGAGCCAATCAGAGTTGATACACACATGGAGGAGTTGCGGCAGCCCTCGACAAAGTCATCAAATAAACTATCCATCCAGAATCTTCTAGGAGCATCTCAGTTAGCATCAATGATGAAGAGCCAAAGCAACTTCTAGATAATGTTCAAATCATCGAGGAGCATCTCGAAGATGATAAAGGATGTTCCAATGAGATACATAAAGTTTTTGGAGAGATCATAAACCAAGAAGGCTTTTTGGAGCATGAAGAATTCGTGTACCATGGAGAGAAGGAAGATCATCACAAGGCCAACTAATTAGAAGAGGAAGAAGATGAAGATATCACAGACCATGGAGATGAGGATCATAATGAGGCCAATGATTGGATGATGAAGAAGAATAGTAACTCAATTCTTTGAAAGAAGAAGGTAGAGAGTAGAAACCCCCTCGAGAAGATGCAAAGGATGAAGAAAGATACTCACAACATAATGAAAGCGTCCAACCAACCATGGGATCTATGATCGATCATCTCCAACCAATCCAGGACAATAAGAATGATCAACCTAACAAGGAACCTCAAGAAAACGATCATATGGAGGCTAATAACTTTGATGAAGATGACTATGATCTTACAACTCAATCTTTGGCAGCAAAAAATGAGATACCGCACCTAGAAGTAGTAATGCAGGAAGAACGATGTACTATTGAAGAACTTATGGTAATCCCAACCTTCTTAGCTTCGTGGAAAGATGTTGAAGGATTCACACCACTCGAGTCCTTTCAACACTTCCTCGCCTTCTTCAATCTACATCCACGAGTAATCCACCTACAAAGGCATCCACAACCATTGGAAACATATACGAGGAAGAGAACGAGTGTGATGATTCCCCTATCCTTCTTATTTGAAGTTTAACAAAACCCTTGGAACCGAACATTGAACAAGATAAGGTGGCGGAGAATTCAAATAAGGATGATCAATCTCAAATGGAGCATGAAGTTGAGGAGCTACTAGAAGAGCTACCATCTTAACATATCCAATAAAAAAAGGAGCTTCAAGAGGCCATCTATCAGAAGCTAATGATCAGACGAACATGGAAACCCAAGCAAGGAAAGGAGCAAGATATTCCCACCATCCAAGAGACCGTGGAGGATTTCATCAATTAAGAAAAATCATCTATCTCAATAAAGGAGATTTCAAGCCACACTCATCTTGAGCTCAAATCGAGTTGGGAGGAAGTAATTTACGAAGATTGCAACTTCGATCTTGGAGAACAAGGATCCTCTATATCATCTTTTATAACAATGGAAGAGGGAAAGAAGTAGCAATCTCACCTACTTTAAGCAATGATGTTCTATGCAAAGAAGATTCAAGCCTTGAAATGGATGGACCCCTTCAAGATCCTTTTACATCATCTTCTCAAGGATCTACACAACCCTTGGAAAAGAAAAACTTTGAGCAAGAGGAAGTAAGGTAAGAGCATAAGGAATTCATCATTTCCAAGGGAACTCTTGTTCGAAAGATGGAGGATGACATTCCCAAAGTTGAAGACCATGAAGAAAATTGTAATATCTTGGTGGAGATACATAATGGAGTGAACCAGGCCTCAATTTCCTACTGGATGTGGGTCCCTTTGCAGCATTTTTGTAGAGCCATGAGACCGCAATGTCATATCTAACCCAAAGAGAGGAATACCTGAGTCCCTCCTTGTATCGTTACCTCTACCATATTTCCAATGCTCATAAACCAAAGTGTAGTGTAAAACGTGCAAGGTGGATACTAAGGTGGTTTATTTTTCATGGTACACCATCAAGCCTAAAGAAGGATGGCAACCAACTGAATCCTACAATCAAAATGATGGACTTCAAAGAATCCCTAAGTTGGAGAGCTTAATGAATGAGGAGTCATGCCTAGCTCAAAGACATACAAGAAAGAACGCTTCTTCGGAGGCAACCCATGTATGGCATCCAACTTAAGAGTGTAAACTCAAAGTCCTACCTAGGAGACAACCCATATTTGTTTTACTTTTTATGCTATAGTTTCATAATCATGTTCAGGAGGACAAGCACTTGCTCTCTCTTTGTTTTGTTACCTTTATAGTTTGTTTTGTTTTTTGTTGAAATCCACGGGAAAATGAAAGGAAAAATGTTGCATGGTGATCCAATAGTGTCCAAAACCCACTCATATTATGAATCCTTCAAGAACAAAGAGAGCAAATCAAATATGGAGAAGGAAAAAGGGCCACCACTCGCAAGCTGAGATGTCGTTAGTCCAACAACATCATGGGATCAGGTATGGTTTCAAGGTTGTTTACAACCTTGCCAACTCAATTATCTTGCAAGTTAGCTGAAATATAGAAGTGGTTCGGTCATGGGTGTGATCTACAATTGAATCTTGTTTTACCCCTGTGTTCACACGGCTCCCTCAGAATCACTCATGAGTCTCGCGCAAAGAATAGTGAAGATAAACAGAGTTGTTGAAGACCACAACTTCGAGGGAACGATGGACGACGTGGGTGGCAGAGTGCAATGTGGTTTTGCAACAATCAAGGAGTTATAGAGACAGTTGCATAGAGGAGTTATTCTACCGGGATGCTTCACTTAAAATACAGAGCAAAGATGTGAAGAACAGGACACACAAAAATCCCACCGAAACAACTTTGTCTCATTTTTTTTCTATAACTCCTTAGTTGAAGAGCTCTCCTTCCAATAAGATTCTCCATAGGCATATTGTAGTCTTAGTCGCGGAGCTCTCCTGATAAATCTCCATAGGACTAGGCCTAATTTAACTTAGATTCCAAAAAACCCTTACACTTTCGTTCGATCATTGTTCGGAGAGGTGAGAGACGAAAAACTTTTATCTCGATTTCCAAAAGTTAGTGGCGCAATCAATCCATTCTACACCACGAAGTTTCCACGGTGAAACAGTTTTCCTTTGTCATTCCGTTGATGGAGAAACCCACAACTGAAGTCGCAACAACGCAGGCAATCAACGCAAAGGACGAACTCAGCTATTTTAGTTTTAAGGTGTCCGATCCGGGCTCGATTAATAGGACGGTGGGCAAGAGGTATAGCATGCGAATAGGGGATAAGGCAATGATAAGTGTTGAATTGAGGACGATGAGAGGTGGTCATTGTAGAATGCAGAGCAGAGGACATATGACATACAGGGAAGGATGTAAGAATGGATCGTCAGGGTGGAGGAGCAATCAATCTGAAATCAATTAGGTATTTGGGAGGACAAACTCGAAACTAAATCGGAAGCTAAGAGAGGCAAAGGCGAATAAGGAATTGATTCAATTAGTGGAGTTGGAGCGATTGTCGGTGAGAGTCTGAGAGACAATGGAGGAGGGAGAAGGTAATATGACGAAGTATAAGGGTGGACAAAACTAGTGGCGGAGCCACCTTATAGCCATGGCCCAGGAGGGGCTTAGCCCCCCCCCCCCTCCTCAACTCTCAAAATTGTGTAAATCTACGTGTAAATTTTGTAACAAATTTGGAAAGATTAGGTTGTAAGGCTTTAGTCCCTCTCCCCGGCTCAAACATCTCGAATGTAAATTTTAGCCCCCCTTCGTTCAGATTTCTGGCTCCGCCACTGGACAAAACTAACTTTTGGGATCTTATATTAAAAACTGAAATCACTTCCCATGCATCAAATTTGCCACAAATTCCACAAGTAAAATATTTTTTTTGTTTGATGCAAGATTTTGGCCCAAAGTCCATCATATCAAAATTTTGAATCCAAACGACCCCTATATAATGTTCAGTCCACTTTCAACTTAATTGCTACTATCCGAAGAGAAAATTTGGCTCAAATACATGTATGGATAATTGAGATGTAGCTCATGGAATTCTATAATGCATATGGCTTAAAAGACTTTGCAGAATTTTCGAAGATGTCGATCGATACTAATGAATAGCTACCCGACAGACTGGTTAATGGCTTCATAGAGTGGTTGAGAGTACCAAAAAAAAAAATGACGCAACTACAAAAGTCGTTTGTGATATCACATAAATTACTTGTTTGTTAAAAAACCATAAATTAATTTACTATCTTGTTTAATTTACTTTTAATTTTTTCATAATTAATAGAATAATTATGTAAATTACTTTACACAAGATAAGTTATGTAGCTTTAGAACACATCTTCGACACAAGATAAGTTGCGTGGCTATCTCAAGCCCCACCTAAGCAAACATGAAAATTCATACTAAATCTATAGTGGATTGAAATTTGGAGTTGGTACCCCTAAATCATAAACCTGGTATTCATTCCCCAGGAAAAAAGAAATAAATAGAAAATTAAGCCTGTAAAAAACTTAATTTGATAAATAATAGAAAAAAGTTTTAAAAAACCACAAATTCTAAAGTGGGGAACTCCCCGCTTTATATCTCCGCCACACTTTTCCCCCCCAATTTCCGCATACCCTCCATTCCTGCCCCGATCACTTCATTTTCTTTCTCCCGCAATCAACCGCCGTTTTTCGTCTCTTTCCCCAGAAAAAAAAAAACAATTACAAGTTACGAAAAAAACATGAGAGAAATCCTTCACATCCAGGGCGGGCAGTGCGGCAACCAGATCGGGGCCAAATTCTGGGAGGTGATCTGCGACGAGCACGGCATCGACCACACCGGCAAGTACAGCGGCGACTCCGAGCTCCAGCTCGAGCGCGTCAATGTCTACTACAACGAGGCCAGCGGCGGCAGGTACGTCCCCCGTGCCGTCCTCATGGATCTGGAGCCCGGCACCATGGACTCCGTTCGATCCGGTCCTTTCGGCCAGATCTTCAGGCCCGACAACTTCGTCTTCGGCCAGTCCGGCGCCGGCAACAACTGGGCCAAAGGCCATTACACCGAAGGCGCCGAGCTCATCGACTCCGTTCTTGACGTCGTCAGGAAGGAGGCCGAGAATTGCGATTGCCTCCAAGGTCTCAATTTCCGCTCTCTCTCTCTCTCTCTTCGATTTCAAAATTTTCGTTTTCCCCAATTGGCAATTGTTGAATTCCGCTAGGGATCCGGCTAAAATCCTCTGTAGCTTACTGCGGCCCTGTTTTTTTTCCCGGTTGAATAGGATTTCAAGTTTGTCATTCATTGGGGGGAGGCACGGGTTCTGGGATGGGAACGCTTCTCATCTCCAAGATCAGGGAAGAATACCCTGATCGGATGATGCTGACCTTCTCCGTCTTCCCGTCTCCCAAGGTTTCCGATACAGTTGTCGAGCCATACAATGCGACGCTCTCCGTTCATCAGCTCGTGGAAAACGCCGACGAGTGTATGGTTCTGGACAACGAGGCCCTTTATGATATCTGCTTCCGTACCCTCAAGCTTGCTACCCCAACTTGTAAGTCATACATACAATCATTCCTCTATGAAGCTTTGCTTTTTGGAATTCGTTGCACTGAGCCATTTCCCCGAGAGAATGTTGGTTGGGGATTTGACTACATAAGTTACTGGATAGTCTTGTTCACCTTCCCTGATTGATACCATGTTCACTAATGTCGATGATATTTGAGAATGAGTGTGTTGGGTTGGTGGCTTGTCTGTATCATTGCAGGTTAAATGCAGTGGGTTTGATTGATTATGGGATGTTAAGTCACTGTTATTTGAGAATGAGTGAGTTGGGTTGGTGGTGGCTAATCACTGGTATTTGAATTATATGGGTTTTGTTAGTACATTGAAGCGTGGGCATTAGTATGGATGCAACTTGTGATCTCGATCATTAGATGCATATCATAACATTTTAGCCCGAATCTAACAAGTAACAGCTGAGATTGTGCAATCCGATGCTGTTAATCCGTCCCTTCAACATGTCAACCTTATTGATTATATATATAAATGTCTGCCATATTTTGGTATCTGTACACATGGCGGGTGAGATAAAGCTGACTCCTTTTCCCCCCATTATCTTATTGCAGTCGGCGATCTGAACCACTTAATTTCTGCGACGATGAGTGGTGTGACATGCTGCCTTCGATTCCCGGGACAGCTGAACTCTGACCTCAGGAAGCTCGCTGTGAACCTCATCCCGTTTCCTCGCCTCCACTTCTTCATGGTTGGGTTCGCCCCCTTGACCTCCAGAGGGTCGCAGCAGTACCGTGCATTGACAGTCCCGGAGCTGACCCAGCAGATGTGGGACGCCAAAAACATGATGTGCGCAGCCGATCCGCGTCACGGCCGGTACCTCACTGCCTCGGCGATGTTCCGCGGCAAGATGAGCACCAAAGAAGTCGACGAACAGATGATCAATGTCCAGAACAAGAACTCTTCATACTTCGTCGAGTGGATCCCGAACAACGTGAAGTCCAGCGTCTGCGACATCCCGCCGAAAGGGCTGAAGATGGCTTCCACGTTCGTCGGCAACTCGACCTCGATCCAGGAGATGTTCAGGCGTGTGAGCGAGCAGTTCACGGCTATGTTCAGGCGCAAGGCTTTCTTGCACTGGTACACTGGCGAGGGGATGGACGAGATGGAGTTCACCGAGGCGGAGAGTAACATGAACGACCTGGTTGCTGAGTACCAGCAGTACCAGGACGCGACGGCGGACGACGAGGAGTACGAGGATGAGGAAGAGGATGCGGCGTAAGTAAAGCTTCAGTATGATGATTTCTGGCAAGTTGTTCTCTTTGGCTCTCTGGTTTGAGTTGAGTGATGATTGTTGTCCCGTTTTGTTGATAACTGGGCCTGATTTGGGTTCGCATCATGTGTGTATGTATATTATATATATTTGTATGTAATTGTTTGATGGATTATGCTTGTACTTGATATATAGAGATATATATGGATGAATTGTGTATCAGAAAGATGTATCTAAGCAACTACGCGCTGATTAGAGGTGATGCTGCAATTTACAGATGATCCACAATATAATAAGCTTTTCTGATCCAACTGAAAAGTAGAGCATATGTAAAGGTTAAAATGATACATGAAATGAAGAATTGTGATTAGTTTAGAACACTTTCTTCGATGACGTCACCATGATCATTAGAATATTCTAATCTCCAAACAATGTAATTTTCAAATTCATACATTGAAACAATGCATCTATTTATAATACATACATTGGTTAAATACATCAATTTAAAAAAAAATACTAACTTCCAAACATGCCCTAAGATTAGGCGTTACTCCAGACTGGTTAAGAACTTTAAGTATCAATCAATTTGAATTAAGCAGAGTAACCAATACACCTAGGACCTAGATTGACAAACTAAACAGAATCCACTTTATTGTAGTCGCTCGCAGTGGTTATACTTCGCCATTATGAAAATGTTGTATTTTAGTGAGTCAAATCTCAACCCTCTATTCTGTCTAACACAAAACTAAAGAAGAAAGAGCAAGAAGGAGGAGGACGGCTAGGTGGTCGAACTCCAGCGGATCTGCGACGATGTTGTCTGGGAAGGCATCTTGGTGGTGATTGGCGGATGAGGGATGTTGCACTTGTCCTTTGATGAGAAAAGATTAGAAATGACGAAAAAGACAGAGACCAGGAAACCGTACCGGACCGGCCGGTCGGACCGGGAAAACCGGAAACCGGAGCTGAAACGGCCCAATAAGGGCTTTGTACCCTCCAGAATCATGCCGGCCGGTATATTCGGTTGGACCACAATGGGCCGGAATTTCGGCCGGTTTTAATAAGAACAGCGGTCCGCTTCATTTTACTAAACGGCGCCGTTTTGACGCAAAGTAAAAAAAAAAAAAACGGAAAGCATTAAGCAGAGGAGAAACCCTACCTTCGTCTCTGCCCGCGCCGCTCGTCTCTGATTCTCTCTGCCTCTCGTCTCCCTCCTCTGCCCGCGCCGCTCTGCCAGTCTGCCTGTCATCACCCGGCGCCGGGCCGCTCGCCGCTCTGCCTGTCGTCTCCCCGCCCCGCGCCGCGCCGCTCTGCCTCTCGAACTCCCGGCGACAGCGTCCTCCCCAGCAAGGCAGCAACCAAACAGCCGGCGACTCGTCCTCCCCACTCCCCAGCAACCGAAGACGACGATGAGGACGATCCCGTCTCCCCCAAATCCGGTTGCTGCCGCGGTTAGTAATTTCTTCAATTTTTCCCCGCTTCAATTTTCCAGTTGCTGCCGCGGGAACAACTGGAATTAATTTCTTCGACAGCGAAATCATCGCCTCCGTTGGCGCTGCAAGCAATTGGTTCCGTATTCCAAAGGTAATTTTTCACAGAATCGATGGATCTTCTTCTTTATATCTTTGGATTTGGATTGTTCTTTCTGCTGTTTTAATTGCCGCCTTTCTCAAATTTCTTGCCCATCCGAATGAATTTTTTTGTGATTAGGCTGATAAGTTGAAATCTTTTTGTTGTGGGGTTGTTGATAATCACAGTGGGAATGAGTAAGTATGGTTTAAACCTGCGGTATAATCCGGTTTTACTCCGGTATTTTCCCGGTATGGTACCCTAATTTTGTCGGTACGGTTTTTTAATAAAAAAATAATTTTTTTATTCCAAAAACGGTATTTACCGATAGGAAACGGTTGAACCATGGTTGTACCACGATTTACCATGCCAAAGACGATTCCGGTTTGATGTCCGGTACGGTTTCGTAATCCATGAAAAAAGAGAGAAACACGCAAAGATAAAAAGAAAAAAAGGTGAGTGGATGGGGGTATATGATAGGGTGCATAACTAGTTTTAGGCCCTTAGTTTTGAGTTTGACAAGAAATGCTCATATATAAAGAGAGAGAATTAATGACTTTATGACTATAATAAGATATGAAGATGACAAATGACTAGTTCGCCGAATTCTCAACAGATTTGTCTCGTAGATCACAAAATATAAATTAATATCCTTATTTAAACTTTGTTAAGACAAGTGTAATCAATGTTTTGTTCATCATTGTTCAATAAATTAAGGTACAATCAATTTTGTTTAACCAAAATTCTGACGCACGAAAAAACTAGCTAATAGTATTTAGGGCTGCAAATGAGCCGAGCAATTCGAGGCTCGAATCGGGAAAAACTCATTCGAAACTCGACTCGTTTACTAACGAGCCAAGCTTGAGCTTAGCTTGACTTGGTGACTTGTTGATCCATTAATCCACCAATACAATGATTTTTTTTTGTATAAAAATATAAATTTTAGGTACAAAAATGTAAAATATAAAAAATATAGTTACCAAATCATAATTTGTCATTTGGATTCATGGACTGATCCATTAATCCACCAATCCAATTGGATTTGGATCAAATAGATTAGATTAGGTGGATAATTTGGTGGATGGATTGGATTGGATTCATGGATTTGGATCCTAATTGCCACCTCTATTAACGAGTTAAGCTCAAACTGGGGTAAAACTCGGCTCATTTGCAGCCCTAATTAGTATTACCTCTGTACAATACTAAGCATATACAATTTTTATAAGAGCATTTCTACCATGCTATAAAATATTGGTGCTTTAATGTATAACTTTAAGTTGTATCAATACATTTTAAATTAAATGTATTTGTGCTTTAATGTATAAAGTATTGATGCTTTAATGAGCGAGCCCGATGTTATTATGATTCATTTCATTTGATCATTCCCTGCTTTTAGCAAGGAGGAGCTGGACGAGAAAAGTGTCTGGCTGGCACCCGTTACATGAGGTTGAATCGGGTTTTTCTTCTTCAACAGAGGCCCATGATTAAAAAAAAAAAAAATTGAACGGTTCAGATCTCTCCAATTTCCCTCCCCTACATATTTTAAGTATTTGTAAACTGTATCTTGGCCACACTATTTCAGTCACTTCAATTCTCTGCCTTCCGTTGCCGAACGCGAGAAGAAGTCCCCAAAAAACACCGCAAAAAAGATAAAAAGGATTAGGAGGCAAAGAAAGCGAACAAAATAGAGGAGGAGAAGCACAAGGAAGAGCGCCACAGCTCCGCCACTGTGGTTGTGGTGGCTTTGTTTTCCTAAACGAACCCAATTTGAGGGAAAACCCAGCAAAGGGATAAACATAAACAAACGCCAGAAAGCCAAACTCGCTGCATCCGCGGGAGTGCGAGCCTGCAGATCCGACCTGCATTTTGCTTCTCAGGTTAGCTCCCCCAATCCCCTTCTGCAACTTTTGCTCAGTTTCGGTTCTGGGTCTTGCTTATTTTCTCGTTTCTGGATCTGGGTAGCTCCTTGTTCCTCAGATTCTTCTTCCCGCAAAATTCTTGTCGAGCTGAACGAACGCATTGTGTAATTTTTCGGTTTCTCGTTGGGCTGGAGCGAAAATCGCTTGATGTCAATTTAGGGCTGGAAGCCGATTCTTTATTGCCACATTGTCCGATTTGTTTGTCTGTTTGATCGGATAGAATGTAGAGGATCTTGTTTCTTTTCAGTCTCTGATGACTTATCAAAATTCGGCGTCTTGGTAAATTCAGCTTTGTGTGGATGTAGTTGTAGAGTTGAATTATGGCTGCTTCTTTCCTCATCCCGTGGGTCCCGCATAAAGTAGATGCTCGTTGATTGTTCTCTCTAGTTCATTCCGTCATGGAAATATCTGATAACGACGTGAATTTGACGGTTGTTGTTTATCATCATCTATAGATCTTCTACACCAAATGCACAAAGCAAGAAACGATTTCCATGGAACCCATTTGGTCGATTACTTAATTTGTGCACCTTTTCAAGATTGATCTGTTGGATTGACATTTTGGTATGTCTTCTCTTTTGTGTAGTACCTCTTTCTCCAGCTAAGCTAGATTAGGGGCTCAAAGATGGTGGCACAGGGGTTCGTAGTTGATCTCAATAAACCACTTGTCTTCCAGGTAAAAATTATAATCCCAGTTTGAATGACCTCAGTGCATTGCATAGCTGATTTGAGGTTTGTAAGCTGCGCAAGCCAAATTTCCAATATTTCACCTGTGATTCTTTCTCATCTCCTGTCCAAAAAAGCTTTGGCTTTGGCTATTCTCAAATTTTCTCATCTAAAGTTTACTCCTTTCTGATCCCAGTTCAAATGACCCGAGTGCATTTGCATAGCTGATCTGAGATTTGTATGCTGCGCCAGCCAAATTACCAATATTTCACCTGTGATTCTTTCTCATCTCCTGTCCAAATTTTTTTGCTTTTGGCTATTCTCCAATTTTCTCATCTGAAGTTTACTCCTTTCTGATCTTTTAGTTGCATTTACTTGTGGCATGTCAGGATTTTTCGTTATGATTTCCCAATACTCGGAGTAGTCTCATTTTCTTGTGATTTTATAGGTTGGTCATCTGGGTGAGGCATATGATGAATGGGTTCACCAGCCTATTGTCAGCAGAGAGGGTCCTAGGTTCTTTGCAAATGATGTTATGGAGGTACCTCAGCTGCTTAACTTTGTATAGACTTCCCCAAACCGTGTCTATTATACTGAACTATGCATCTCAAAGTTTGTATTGAATTTTCTGAATAGGCCTTGACTCGTACAGTTTGGTGGGTAATTCCGACCATCTGGATTCCAGTTGTATGCTATTTCGCTGCAATGTCTGCAAGGCTGGGCCTCGTTATTCCTGAGGTTGTTTCGTTGTTGTTTTTGGGCGTTTTCCTATGGACACTAGTTGAATACACCTTGCATCGCTTCCTTTTCCACATTAAGACTACTTCTTACTGGTTAGTCTCTCTCTGTCTCCAGTTGAATCTAAGTTAATGCATAAAACTGAAAGAGTTCATTAAAAATATTGGAACCCTTCACGTTATCAAGTTCATCAATCTTTGGTGTTGCTCAACGTGCTTCAGGGGAAATACTGCACACTATCTCCTTCATGGCTGCCATCATAAGCATCCCATGGACGGTTTGCGCCTCGTCTTTCCTCCCGCGGCAACAGCTATTCTATTAGTACCAGTATGAGCATTGTTACTTGTTATATTGATTCTTTTGATGATTTATAAACCATTGGACGGAATAGAGACTATGGTGCAGAGTACAACTAGGCGTTACATCCATTACTGTTGGATAATTGACATGAATCGTCAACTAATTTTCTTGATGGCAGTTCTGGAACTTTGTTAAGCTTCTGTCCACGCCTACGACTGCGCCTGCCCTTTTTGCTGGTGGTTTGCTGGGGTATGTTATGTACGACTGCACCCATTACTACTTGCACCACGGGCAGCCATCGAATGAAGTTCCTAAGCATCTCAAGGTGAGGCCCCTTTTCGGCATATGGGTCTTTACAAGTGAATGCTGGTGGTTGTAAGTTATGTTGATGTTGGGGTTGATCTGGTTTTGTAGAAATATCACATGAATCATCACTTCAGAATCCAAGACAAGGGGTATGGAATCACTTCTTCCCTGTGGGACAGGGTGTTTGGAACACTTCCTCCATCGAAAGAAGCCCAAAAGAGTAGATAAGTTTTGATATGGGAACCAGTGCAGTCCTGAGTAGAGAGTCGGGAACACACCAGCTAATGGGGGAGGAAGGAGAAGGAAAGGGGAAGTAGTGGGTGCTTTCTCTGGATGATTTCGATGCTGTGTATTTTTCCCGTTGTCCCTAGACCATATAAAATATCAATATTCATTCTTGTGCTGCCTGTTCAATTGATTGGTTTAGTTGGTAGCTTGGCAACTTCAAAAAGAAATATGGGTTTGGGGACAACTTTGTAGCCTTTTGGTTTTTGTACCTTTGGTAAGTGGGTTTTGCTTGAGCATCTCTGAGTTCGATTCTCTGTAACGAGAGAAACAAAATAGAATAGAAAACAACAAAAGACCGTTATTGTTTGTATTCAGCGATAGAACAATAGCATCGGTGAGATGATGTCACCTTCTGTATCTCTCAGCGAGTTGAGATGAAAAAGAAAGGAGAAATCGAGAAGCAGGAGAAGAGAATCAGAGAGCTTGAAAGAGAGATACAGAGAGAAAGGGGAGGAAAAGTTTGTTATTTCTTTATAGATGGGTCTAACAGAATACAATGGCTTTCTTAAGTAGGCTGGTCTACTCTTGTCAGGGTGAATGGTGGAACTCTGAGGTAGCTGAAGCTTGTAGGCCACCAATCTCATCTTCTGCACAATCAAGAAAGGCCCAAAGAACATGAGAGCTAGTTTTTTATTTGCCATCAACTCCACTAATGGCTGCTTGTAAGGTCGCAATTTCACATAAACCCAATCGGAATTCCATCTCAGTTCTATGCTTGTGAGCCATATGCTTTTGTCGATTTTGAGCCATAGCAAGGTTGTGTCTGAGTAATCCCACCAGCCTATGAACAATGCATCCCTGCCTGAAATAATTCGTGTGAGGCATCCCATGAAGTTTAAAGATCTCATCCAAGAACACATGTGCCACTATTGCTGTTGAAAAGGGGTGTTTTTCCCCAAATACAACATTAATTAAAAAAAATTCTAAACTACAACACTGGTAAAATTTCTCCCCAAAATACCTAAGTTTAAGGTGGTTCGAGTCCAAAGGCCTCGAACGATTAGTGGGATCGAGTTAGAGAGCCTCGATTCACTTTCTGAGGTAGTGGATAGAGTCTGAGTGCCTCGATCCACTGCGTTGAAATTTCCAATAACCTTAACTTTGTGCTCGTTTATCTTATCGTAGTCAATTTTTTTTATTCCACGTAACTTTTTGAGGACTACAACTTTTTGTGAATTTTTTTTTATTCCGCATAAATTTTCGAGGACTGCAACTTTTTTCATAGAAATATTTTCAGAATGTATGTGAAAATGTGAAAAGTAAAGCTAAAGTTATTCTCAAAACCCGTTATATCCAAAAAAAATTCCTATTTTGAAAATTTCATCCTAGCAAAAGTTGTAGTACGCAAAATTTTATGCAAAATTTCATAATGTATCTTGTTCGATTCCTGCTTTCCACCACATTCTTTTGTATTCAGTCAAGGTCTCTCGAAAACTCGTTTGGTTGTGAATGAAACCTAGATGAATATAGAATCAAGAGAATTTGAGCTACTGTGAACATGAAAATATAGTCCCGTCAAATTACAGTTAATTACCCATTTAGGTAATTTGAATTTATATTGGAGGATATTTAAAAGTTTCCAATTTGAGAAAGTGTTTATTATATTCTTTTCTTTTTTAGTGGGAAGTGTTTACTATATTCTATTGATGCATACGACTGAAAGACTTTACTTAAGACAAAAATGAATTGTCAAGAAGGTAAAAGAGATAGGATGAATAGTTGGTCAGTTCTAGTATTGGTGGTACATCTATTGGGAAAAAAATTCCAAAACACACATATTTTTTTTAAAAATTTTCAAAATACACACGTTATAAAAAAAATTCTCAAAATACACATGTTTGGGCATCACTGCGGTCGTCAACCACAGTGAATGCATTCACCGCGGCGGACGAAAGTAGGGGTGTTCAAATGGTTACCGTGGTTATAACCGAACCAATTAAGCCTAAATTTCATTAACCATGAAATAAAATGTCTTAACCAAACCGTCCAAATTAACACGAAAACCAAATTAACCAAACCAAAGTATAATTGGTTTGGTTAATCGGATAATCGGATTAACCGAATAAAATTACATTACATGAAAACATATCATCATCATTCGAGTTAATATATCATTCATCATATCTGCACCTAATATAGTTGACTTACAATAACCCCCTTAACATAAATACATACATATACCCTCGGTCAAGAAGTTAAAATCTCTTCCTACAAAACCGTTAAACTATACATAGTTTGAGGTGAGGTGATTATCACGTAATCCAAAAGAAAGTCTAGTAGCTGTTCAAAAAACCTCCACAAAAAGAGCTACTGCCAATATACATATAGCACTTGATAGAAAGAAGAATAAGATTAACAAATACCACTCAAATAAAATCAAGAAGGCATCATGTATTCATGTGGTGATTATTTAAATATGCACTTTTGTTGAAAATGCATATTGTAGCACTATTCTCATATTGCAGTTGTAAGTAGTAACCACTAACTATGCTTTCTCCTTCTCCCCCACTCAATAGCGTAGAGAAGTGGCAGGGGCAGAGAGTCTCGTGTGCAGCTGCTAGCCTGCTACTGCCTTAGTGTTTTTTTTCTTTCTTTCTTTTGGTTTGAGAATAACAACAGTATATATTTATACCTGGAATGGTGGGCATCAGTATCATTGTCAAGTTCTATCTGTAGTGCCACTGATCGTAACATCACTTAAAGCTGTAAATTAAAATTGACAAAACATGAATAAAATTTTTAGCACAAATTACCAAATGAATAAGCATAAATAAAAAGTAAGAGGTGGAATCTCGTTACCTTCTTCTAGCTTTTCCAGTTCCACTGTATTTTCTTCAACGCTTGTGTTCTGTGGATACGATCTCACCCAATTCTGGCCACAAATGAGAGCTTGTGCAATCAGTGGAGTTAAAGAACTCCTGTGTTCATCAAGAACTCGGCCACCAGTGCTAAAAGCAGATTCGGAAGCCACAGTGGAGATGGGTATGGCTAGAACATCCCTAGCCATACAAGCAAGGATTGGAAATCTAGCACTATTCATCCTCCACCAGTTCAAAACGCTAAAGTCTGCAGCCTCTTCTTCAGCTTGCTCCATTAAGTACTTATCCAACTCATTTCTACTCAATTCAACGCCGGATTCTAAGTTTCGTTGCTTGAACCGGGACTTCCTCATCAATTTTTGCCTCTCTGACTCTGATGTACTCCCAATACCACTTGAGCTGGTTCCAAACTCAACAACTAAGGAACCTGGAATGTGGACAGGTACTTCACTTGGGACTTGATTCATTTTCCTATATTCCTCGTACATTTCATACATTTCCTCTTTAACCCGCTTTCCATATTCTTTTCCTGCTGCCTCTCCATACATTTCACCAAGAGTAAACACCAAATACTCCAATTTCTCTCTAGGATCAAGCACAAAGGCAATATAAATCAGTTTGTTCATTTTGCCAAAGTCTCCCCAATACTTATTGTACTTGATCTTCATCTTTGAAGCCATATGACGCAAATCAATATCAGAACCAGATTCCCATTTATGTAACATCCCTTGAATAACACTCAAGTCATGAAAAAATGAGCAAGATGTCACATATGAAGAACCAGAAACTTTAAGAGTTAAATCATAGAAATGTTCCAAGAAGGTCACAAGCTTTCTAGCATTCTCCCAATCTAGGGAAGTTGGAGGCCCTCCAATTACTCCATCATCTTTCTGAAGCAAGTCCAAAGTGTAATACCCATCCATTCCCTCATACCTATCAAATGCCCTTTCGAATTTTTCAGCTGTGTTCAACATTAAATAGGTGGAGTTCCACCTAGTCGGCACATCCAAACAAAGCAAGCTCTTCCCTTCTATGTTTTCAAGTTTAATGCACTCCTTAAACTTTTCCAGCCTAGAAGGAGATGACCTTATGTACTTGACAGCCTCTCGAACTCTTCTTACCGAAGGATGATGCTCCTTTAAACCATCACTAACAATTAAGTTGATGATATGAGCAGCACACCTCATGTGCAAATATTTTCCATTTGAAATGGCAGTTCCTCGAACAACAAGTTTCTCTCTTAAATACTCAACTGCCACATCATTTGCAGAAGCATTATCCACAGCAACAACAAATACTTTCTCAATACCCCAGTCACGTAAGCACATTTCAATACGTTCTCCTATATCCCTACCCTTGTGAGAAGAAATAGTGCAGAAATTCAAGATCTTCTTCTTCAATATCCAATCATCATCTATGTAATGGCCAGTAAGAGTCATGTAGTTGATGTTTTGCAAGGATGTCCAAGTATCCGTAGTTAAAGATATTCTTCCACCAATTTTCTGAAGGGATTGTCTCAACAAATCCTTTTCATCTGAAAACAGCTTAAAACAGTCCCTTGTAATGGTAGTTCTTGAAGGCATTTGAAACCTAGGACATGCAATTGCCATCACATGCCTAAACCCTTCCCTATCCACTACTCTAAAAGGCTCTTCATCGATAATAATCATACGTGCTACAGCCTTTCTAATTGCCTCTTGATTAAAGCTCCAATTACTAAGTTTCCCACCCCCATCTTGACCAGGTTTCAAGTTCAGCAGCTGCTGTTTCGGAGAAACCACTCGTTCATTGCAGGAAAGCATATGAAATCGTAAAGGGCTAGTTCCATCTTTTGATGTATCAGCAAAGTAAACCTTACCACACAAACCACACTTAGACACCACATCATCACCCTCTTTAGCTTTTGAAAATTGGGCCCAAACATCTGACCTTGCCTTCATTGGTTTTCTTCTCTTTCTCTTCAGTTTGGCAGTAGGTGGTATAGGAGCACGATTGACAGCTGGTATTGTTGTTGCATTCTCAGTACCACCGGCGACTGGATTTAAACTTGGACATGCTTGCGGTGATGCGCCGACAGTAGCATCAGCAACAACACCATCGGTCAATTTCCTCGGTTCAGAAACCTGGAATTAACAAAGCTACATTAATTTTTTTTATTGTAAACGTGACCTAAAAATCTACCAGGTCACTATAACTAACACACACATAGGGAAACATATACATAACCACAAATGAAGCACACACAAAGTTAAAAGATGGAGCTCACCTGCTTACAGAAAAAGAAGGGGAAAAAAGATGGTGCGACATTCATCAATTCAGAAAACAAGTTTAGAGAATAAGAAACAAAGAGACCAACAGCCTACATGACTCAAAAGCAAAGTGCTCCAAGAACCCAACTTAAAGCATCTACTATCTACTAGGAAAACAAGAAAAGTAGATAAGCAAGGACTAAAACAGCAGCACAAAACCCTAATAGTGGTAAGACAACACAGAGTCGTAATGACCCATAGAAACACAGAAAAGAGAAGTGATGAAAGATTGAGTGTTGGCTTACTGTGCAAGAGGTGGATTTTGATTTAGATACCATTCTCGAAGAGTTATGAATGGAAATATTTGTATTCGACTGTCTCTCTCTCTCCTTCTCCCTCTCAATCTAGGGTTCAATGTTCTGGGGAGTGGAAATTGGATATGGGGATTGAGGACAGAGGGAAACGAAACGTTTGGTTTTGTTTGGTGTTGAGAGAGGCCCACTTGATGGTAGTGGAAACTGGAAAGTGGAGGTTATCATATTATTATTAATTATTTATTTGGTTAATTGGTTTCATTGGTTAGCAAAGTTGAAACCAAACCAAACCAGTTAAACCAAATAAGCTAACTTATTTAACCAAACCAAACCAATTATCCAAATTAACCGAACCAAATTAACCGAATACTACCGGTTAATATGGTTACCACGGTAACCAATCCGTTTGAACACCCCTAGACGAAAGCGGTGAATGCATCACTGCGGTTGACGGTCGCAATTAGGGGCGGCAGGACGATTTTCGGTTAGCAATTAACCGGACGATTTCGACCGAACCGACCGGTTTTTGGCTAACCAAAAACCGTCGCATTTTGGCAGCGATCGGTTGGCGGTGGTGAGGGGACGTGGCTCGGCTAGCCGACTGACCGAGGTTGGAAACCGGCGGTTAGCCGACTAACCGAGCTCTACCCAACCTAACCTAAACGACACACCCTCACACTCAAAACGACCCCTCCCCTAACCGGCTAACCCTAACCTAAGTCCCCAAAATGCAAAACCCTAACCGACCCACTTCTCTTCCAAATGCGGGTAGCCAGATCTAGATCCAGATCCGCTGCCGTTGCCGGTCAGGACTTCCATCTCCGCTCGGAATTCCTTTTCCCCTTCGATCCCTGCTCTCTGCAGCTTCTTCACCGCGACTTCTCTTCCGTCAGGTAACACCCCTCTGTAAACTGTGCCAAACCCTCCTCTCCCCACGATTCTCCCATCCGAGAAGTTCTCCGTCGCGGACAAAATGTCGGCGTGAGTGAACGCCGTCTTGTCCAGGCGGATTACCTTCACGGTGTTCGACGACCATACCGGCGACGAGCTACCGGAGGTCGTCGAGACGTCGTGCCTGGATTTGTTGTGTTGCAGCAGATACCCAGGTGATGATGATGATTGGGGTTTCCCCAGTAGATGGATGACGAACGACAGTGCTCCGCAGATCAAGATTGCCAAGACGAGGGCGGAGAAGATCAAGAATGCTCCCCTTTTCGGTTACCGGTAGGTTAGGCAGCTCCAACCGAACCACCCTTCAGATTTCGGTTGCCCAGGTTAAACCGCACCTAAACCGAAAATCGGCTGGTCGGTTTGTGGCTAACCGAGGCTGCTGGGTCGGTCGGTCAACGGTAGCGATTGGTCATGTCTCGGTTTAACCGAAAACCAAGATTTCGGTTTTCAGTTAAACCGAAATCGACCGATCGCCACCTCTAGTCGCGGTGAATACCTGACGTAACACTGAAACTTCAAACAAACGTAACTTTGCTCTCGGTTATCCAATTGTAGCGAATTGTTTTTATTCCACATAAATTTTCAAGATCTTTCAATATGCAAGAAGGCTTCATCCCAAAAAAAAAATTCGTTTGCCACCCTGAACGAGCAATTTATCGATTTTGACAAACTTTGGAAGACCATAACTTTGTGCTCTGTAATCCGATTGTCATGAAACTTTTTTTTTATTTCGCATAACTTTTGATGGACTACAACTTTGAATATAACCATAATTTTGGAATGTATGTGGATTTGTGAAAAGTAAATGCAAAGTTATTCCCAAAATCCCGTATACCCAAAAATATTCCTTTTTAAAAAAAATTCTTTCCTAGTAAAAGTTGTATTTCTTAAAAATTTATGCGCAATAAAAAAAAATTACGGCGTTCGGATTGAGGAGCTAAAAGTAATGGCCTTCCAAAGTTTGGCAAAATCGAAAAATTGCTCGTTCGGGGTAACAAACGATAATTTTTTGAGATGAAAGCTTGTTGTAGATTGAAAGATCTTGAAAAAGTATGCGGAATCGGAAAAAATTCGCTACAATCGAATGACGACTTAGCGCAAAGTTACGTTCATTTGAAATTTCGGTGTTACCGGTTACGTCAGGCATTCACCGCGGCCGTCAACCGCAGTGATGCATTCACCACTTTCGTCTGCCGCGGTAAATGCATTCACTGCGGTTGACGGCCGCGTTAAAACATGTGTATTTTGTGAATTGTTTTTATAACGTGTATATTTTGAGAATAAATAGGTGTATTTTAGGATTCCATCCCATCTATGGCGGCATGAGTAGAAAGAAGTCAAGGCAGCTAATACGTACTCACCTTTCCAATAGGGTGTGAAAAGCTATATGAAAACTGTAGGGTAAAATACCTCGGATACCACTAAGTTTCAGAATTGGGGCATGCATACCACTTAAGTTTGAATAGGGCGTCAGGTACCACTGAACTCTATTATTTGTGTACCCGGTACCACTTAAGTTTAATGTTAAGTGCATTCCGTTAAAGTTAACAGAATATTCCAAGAATATTCTGTTTTCTAAATTTCTTAATTGGTCCTTCTACTTTTCTTATTGTAAAAAATCATTTTTGACTTATGAAAAACATCAATTTTTATTATTTAATTGGTATCCTCTTTTGAAAACTTGATACCAAATTTATTTTTGAATAGAAAATTTAAAATCAGTTATTATTATAAGTATTTTCAATTATTATTATGTTTTCTAATAATTGAATTATTCTTTTTTTTTTTAAGATTTTGATATCAAACCAATTTTTGAATAGGAAATGTAGAATCAATTATCAATTATAAGTACTTTAAATTACGATTATGTGTTATAATAATCGAATAATTTGCTTAAGCAAATATATCCTATGAATTCTATATCGATATAAATAATATGAGGATGTTATATGTAATTCTCGTACATCATCTCGATGTTGTATAATTTTCTTGGTTACTTTCGTTCTATTTTCGTTCTAAATTTTCTTCAATTACTTTAATGTTTAATTCTTTCTAACTATGTTCCATTTATCATTCTTTGTCTTGATGTATTGATGATCGATTAGATTTTATTTTAACTATTTTTAGTGGTACTTCTTATCGGATTAGTAATTTAAATAAATCTTCTAATATTGATTTTAATTATTTATTCTTATATTCTATATATTTATTCTTCTTCTTGATATTTGTTTATTATTTTTTACTAACTTATCTATTTTATTGAAAATTTTGATTAGTCATTTTAGTAATATTATGTTTAGAAGGTTTTTTTAATTTCTATATTAGATAAAAACTTGTTGAAATATAGTTTTGGATGTTTTTAAAAGTTTTGGGTACCAAAAATTAATTAAAATTTTGGGTTGGATGGAAAATTAGACGGATGCACATCCACTGGAAGTTCGTGGTCTTGTACGGAGAGCTATTGTCATGTGAAACATTTGTTACCATTGAGTCGTGTTTTGGAGATGCAAAGGCCTTCTCATATGCAGCGGTTTGGATGCGGTTCTAAGATGTTGAAAGCAGGGATGCATCAATCTGAAGCTCGTCTCTTTTCTCCAAGCCTGTCCGTTGCAGTTTTTGTGGTCTCCGGGCTCTTCGCGGACTGCTGTTCTCCCGTTGGGGCGTTGGTCCGCTCGTTGCATGGTGAGCTGGTGGTCGACGATTGGTTTTCGGCGGCTCTGTTCGTACGGTTGGCGGCGGCAGGTTGGAGAAGAGATGATAGCTAGGGTTGGTGTTGGTAGTTGTCTGTAGGGTTAATTGGGCTTGGGCTCACTTTGCGGGCTCTGGGTTTCGGGCTTCATTTTTTTGTTTCTTTTTGAAACATTTGTTAGGGTTTTGTTTGTGGGCTTTTTTCCCCTTTGATGTCTGGGGTATCTTTTCATGGGTTTTACGCTAAACTTTGTACTCACTTTTGAAGTGCAATATAAGCAGCTTCTTGCAAAAAATATATAAAAGTACGACACGTGGTAGATCTTTGATTTCTAGGCCTCTCTGACAGTTTCCCAGCTTTGCTGGAACAAGTAGCGTTATGAATTATGATTGGCACAAACTGCTTTCTCAAACTAAAATAACAGAGAATATGATCCTAGGGCTGGGAAAATAGACCAGACCGTTAGAAAAACCGTGGTCCAAACCGTACCGCACAGTTTGGTTCGGACCGTAGACCGTGAAGTATGGTCTGGTCTGGTCCATGGTCTGTATTATTTTATGATTTGATCTCTTGGTCTGGTCTGGTCTAGACCGCGGTTTACCGGACCAGACCGTAGACCCAACTGACTTATCAATACGTGTTAACAGCCCATTCGACCACTCTCCAAACTCCCACAACGACACCCAAGTCTCAACCTTAATTTTGTGAATCTCTTCCCTCCTTCATTCACAACCACATTTAACCACAGAGTAGAGATAATCGTGTCTCCATATGACATTATGTTAATGTTTATGACATTATGGTGCAAGCTGGGATGCTTTTACTTTGTATCTTTGTTATGTACTAAGATTTAGAGTATCAAAATTATTCATGCATGTTAGGATTAATGTTTTAAGGCAAATAACAATTATTTTTCTTGGTTATTGGTTCAATTTTTTGTGTGGTTGACTAAACAAATTATTCATTTTTCGTTGAGTGTGGTCTATCTGGACCAGACCAGACCGAACCAGACCGCACAGGCGTGGTCTGGACCAGACCGTATAATCTGTGGTCTGGTCTGTGGTCTATACTTTAGCCTCTCGATCTGGACCGTAGACCGTATATATGGTCTGGTCTGGACCAGACCGCACCGTTTCCCAGCCCTATATGATCCTAGTAAAATCTCGTTCAGACCAGACCGCACCGTTTCCCAGCCCTATATGATCCTAGTAAAATCTCGTTGATTCCATGGCAATGATATAAGTCATAGAAAGTTGTTCGCTACAACTTTGGTTTGACACAGAAAAGCAGGAGTTCCAATCAGTCAATATATGTCAGTTTACTATTACTGAGTTCATCTTTTGCTTTTTATATTTTAATTTTAAATTTATTTAACATAATTAAGAATTTAAATATCAAGAAAATAAATTTGAGTTCACCAATAACAAACTCACATGTAGATGATTGGAGCTTTTACGTCCAGCAAAAGTTGGAGCTAAAAAATTATGTCCGTAATGTAATAAGAAATGCTATCAAAAAATAACTGCCAAACTCATATAATTGAAAATAGTTGATTGCATTGGGTAATTAATTGATAAAATAGGAACATCAATTATTTGACAAGATTACATAAAAAAAAAAGTATTTATGTCTTTGAATACAAACTTATTTGTGGTAATGATTAATAAACATACACAAGAAAATATAGAATAAGTGTGAAAATAAATATTGTATCAGCCAAGAAACATCACATGTATTATGGCCGGACCGCCGGAATACAATTTTTTTTTTTTAATAATACATGTTCATAATGACGACGGTGGAAGAAAGTTGTGGGTGCCAATAATGATGTCACGTACATGAGCTGCTGTCATCATAATTTAGGCTTACACAAGTACGTGGGCACACTTTGCTCATGTCTAAACAAATTATGAGGATCCACTTTACTCTTAATCTTCACCAACCTATCAAAGTTCCCCTTAAAGTAGCTCCTCCCGTACCCTTCCGCCGCCGCCGCTCCCCCGCCGCCGCCGTTGACCCCGAGATCAAGATCCTTGTAGTTCAGGAACGACGCCCTCGGATTCCGCGACACGTACGGCGTCATGTAGTCGTACATCTCCCTACACAGCGCCACGTGTCGCCTCTCCGCCTCCGCCCCTCCTTCGTCCCAGTTCACCTGGTACTGGATCTTCCACAGGTTCCCCGCGCGGTGAGGAAACGGCGTCGCTTCCGCCGCTATCTCGCTCATCCTCCCGCCGTACGGGTTGAACGCCATCTTCACCACCTCCACCTCCATCATCTTCCTCCATATCGCTTCCAGCCCGGGCCTATCAATCGGCCGCTGGACGTAGTCCGATTTCCTCTTCAGGTGGACCAGATTTCGAGGACGCCGACTCAGAAGAACCACGTCCGCCGCCTTCGTCCCGCGGGGGAAGTCCGCCCAGTGCGGCGTCGTTTCGATCCAACTCGACTCGGTGCAGTCCGACTCGGTCAGGCCCAGCTCGGGGAAGCTCTCCCGGGTCATGGCCAGCAGCCGGTCGGACCGGCCGAGGAACATCCCGATAAATGCGGCCCGAACCGTCTTCTTGACGACCTCGACCAAAACTCTGACGAAGAGGTCCACGTGGGCTGCGGGGGCGAAATGCTGCCACGTGTGCACGACCTCCGTCATGTTCTCCTCCAGCGTCCTCTCCACGCGGAACACGGTGACGGTGTCCGGCACGCGGGCCAGCTTCACCCTGTAAGCCAGGACGACGCCGAAGCTGGGCCCACCGCCTCGAATCGCCCAGAAGAGATCCTCCCCCATGGACTCCCGGTCCAGAATCTCCCCACGCGCGTCCACGAGGCGCGCGTCGACCACGTTGTCCACGGACAGACCGTGCTTCCTCATCAGGTTGCCGTACCCGCCCCCGACGAGGTGTCCCCCGACGCCCACCGTGGGGCAGACACCCGCGGGGAAGGCATGGGTGGGGCTTTTCTCCGCAATCGCGGAGAAGAGCTCCCCCAGCGTGGCTCCGCACTGGACCCAGGCGGTCTCGGTGCGGATGTCGACGTGGATGGAGCGGAGGTGGCACATGTCGAGGATGAAGAACGGGGTGGTGGAGAAGGAGGAGGAGGAGTAGGAGTGGCCCTCGTAGTCGTGGCCGCCGCTGCGGATCCTCATGTGGACGGTGGTGGGGTGGGCGGCGGCGGCGGAGACGGCGGCTTGGACGTGGGAGTGGTGCGACGCGGTGAGGATGAGGAAGGGTTTGGGGGTGGAAGGGGTGGAGAAGCGGAGGTTGTGGATGTGTGCGTGGAGGACGGGGAGGAAGGAAGGGTGGTCGGGGGTGTAGATGGCGCCGGCGATTGGGTGGGAGGGGTCGGAGTTGTCGACGAGGGATCGGAGAAAGGTTTGCATGTTTGGTAAGGTCGGTCGGTTCGTTAACTTTCTCATGATAAGTACTTGTTTAGGTGTAATGAAAAACTAATAAAATGCATGACACGCAGCTACAGTTTTTCCCCCCTTACTTTTGAAGAGCTTCTACGCTAATTTGGTATGTTAAATTATTGTGGGGAGAAAGGTTTGCATGATTGGTTGAGTTGAGTGCTTATTTGCTTCTTTCCATTTCTTTTATGATAAGCCCCCGCAACGTTAACGCTCAATTTCACTTCTCGTGATACGTGCTTGTTAGGTGTAATGAAAAATAAATAAAATGCATGACAGGCAGCTACAAGCCTACAAATTGGTATGTTAAATTATTGTGGGGAATTCTTAATCGGAAAGTATTGTGTTGGGGTAAGAGGCTAAGTCGTCGCGCGTCGAAAGCTCACCGCCAGAAGAGCCTGGACGCGCGTAACCGCCAAAGCAACTGCACCGTCTGACAACACGTCCCGTCACTCGTACGACTCACCTACTTTCACAGTGGTATAAATACAGCATTTACTACGGAGAGAGGGGGAGGAAAAGAAGGAACCGGACTACCCTCTCTCTAACTTTCTCTCTCTATCCCCTTTCTCTGTAACATTGCTACTCTATCTCAATAACACAAGTCTTAGCGCATTGCCTACCTTACATTACTCAAACCCTTCCAAACTTAGTGTCTCCCTCCTACCACACCAGCGAGGCATAAACAATTGGCGCCCACCGTGGGGCTTGAGGATGTCTGGGAAGCAAGTGATGAGGACGGCAGAGGAAGACCGGAACCCGATGGCAGAAGAAACAACCCCACTCAAGAGCGTGACGGATAGGCGGGTGTTTGAGTCCACCAGCGACTTCAACACAGTGCTGATCGAAGAGGAAGAGCCGGAGATGTCAGCGAAAGAAATGCGCGCTCAGATGACGCATAACAACCGATTGGTGACAGAAATGCAGGGGCAAATGAGCCAGATATTAGCCCTCATAACCGGAGGGCGCGCAACGACGACTTCCGAGGGCGCGCCTGAGCCTACCCCCGCGAGGAGAGAGGACGAACGTACCCCCCCATTGCGTCAAGAGCCCAGGCCGAGGGCCAATTTGGACTTCCTCGAGCAACACCTCTCCCCCCTGTACCGCGCGCCCGATGACGCGCGACGTCTGCGCAAACCCGTGCTAAGACAACCACTCTGCGAGGACATCATGGCGGAGCAGATTAGCGGAGTACCCCCCGTCCTGCCGACGTACAACGGGACGACGGACCCGGAGGACCATGTCAGCGCGTTCTGCCTCAGGATGCAGCTGCAAAATTGGTCCAACGCGGCAATGTGTCGCACTTTCCCATCCACCTTTTCGGGCCTGTGCCTTGATTGGTACAACCGGTTGCCGAGCGGCATCATTGAGACATTCGAGGAATTCATCCGCCTGTTCACGACCAAATTCGCGTCACAAAAAAGACGCCCGCTCCATTCTAAAGCGCTCGTAGACCTCAAACAGAAGGAAGGAGAATGTTTGAGAGCGTTTTACACACGGTGGTCGAGGGTGGCCATGGCAGTGCGCGATCTCACGCCAGAAACAGCCGCGCAACACCTGATGGATGTGACAACCAACAGCGAGTTAAGGCGCGCCTTAGCAAAAAGACCCGTGGTTTCGACATCAGAGCTGGAAGCCAAGGTGGAGAAGGCAATTACACTGGAAGAGACGTTAGGAGCGGGATCCGTGCGGAGATTCGAGCCTTCTCGCGCTCCTAGAGAAGACCAAATACGGCGCAACCCTCCCCCCGCGGCGTTTCTCGGCGGCGGTGTTGCGCAACAAAGGGGCGCCCAACAAGACCGCGTGCCACGGCGTCGGTCCCCCGACCGGCGTCAAGCGAACACGTTCACACCTCTGAACGACACGGTCAAGAACGTGTTCCATGTAATCCGAGAGAAAGGATACAGGGTCAATTGGCCCGCGCCATCGAAGCTGCCAGAGAACCGGCGGAACCATAGGAAGTTTTGCGACTTTCACCGCGAGACGGGGCACATGACGGAGGATTGCTACCAGCTGAAGGTGGAAATCGAGGCACTCATAAGAAAAGGGTACCTGGCCCATTGTGTCGCGGGGGCCGGGGGTGACGAGAAAAAGGAAAAAACTCCCCCACCTCCGCCAAACGCGGGATACGAAGAGGATGGGCGGTATGAAGTGCGCAAGGAGATTGGTGTAGTTACGGTGGAAAGTTCACCGAGGAAGAAGACGAAAAGAGAGCGCGCCACTGAGTGCGCGTCAGCCAACCGCATCAGCGAGCGGTTAGAGTTCGCTGACTCCGAATACCCCAAAGGAAAGCCGTCCGAAGAGCCGCTCACCATCACAGCTCTGATCGCATCGTGCAAGACGCACCGCCTGCTAGTAGACGGGGGCAGCGCGGCCGACATCCTATTCAAAAGCACGCTCGACAAGATGGACGTCGACCCAAAAACAATCAAACATTCTAGGGGAAGCCTAGTTGGATTTTCAGGCGAGAGCGTGCCCGTGATAGGGACGGTGTCCTTGCGCGTTATCATAGGTGATCATGAGCCACGCGAACATAAGGCGGTCGAATTTACCATCGTCGATTGTCCTTCGCCTCACAATGCGATCCTCGGCCGCCCTTTCATGTCCACCTTCCGCGCAATAGCATCTACTTGCCATCAGAAGGTGAAATTCCCGACATCTTCAGGCGTGGGCTGCGCGTGGGGAGCGGTATGGAACAAAGCGAGCGAAGTTGGGGAGAACAGCGCCAACTTGGTGGATACGCGCATGGAGGAAGAACCAAGGGCGGAGTCTGTTGACTCAGACTTCGAGGTGGCAATCGATCCTGCGCGTCCTGAGCGGAAAGTGCGCATTTCCACACACATCCCGAACGAGGCGCTTGAGCCATTGATCAAGTTGTTGCAAGAATTCAAAGAGTTGTTCGCCTGGTCGACCGAAGACATGCCAGGGGTGCCCAGGGAGATTGCAGAGCACCGCCTCGCCGTGCCGAAAGAGGCCAAGCCGCGCCAACAAGGGCGGCGCACGTATACGGGCGACAAGCTTAAAGCAATAGAGGAGGAGTTGTGGAAGCTCCTAGCCGCCGGCCTGATAAGAGAGGTGCGCTACCCTAAATGGCTCGCCAATGTGGTACTTGTGAAGAAGGCATCAGGGGCCTGGCGCATGTGCGTAGATTATACCACCATCAACAAGGTCTGTCCGGGAGACCCCTACCCCTTGCCGCGCATCGATCAACTGATCGACGCCACATCAAACCACGAGACCTTGTCATTCCTTGACATGTTCTCTGGTTACCACCAGATACCGATGAGCCGCGAGGACGAAGAGAAGACGGCATTCATGACGCCGTTCGGCAACTTCTGCTTCACCGGCATGCCCTTCGGCTTGAAGAACGCCGGAGCCACATATCAGCGCCTAATCAACACTGTATTCGCAAAACAGATTGGGCGAAATGTGGAAGCTTACGTCGACGACCTCATCGTCAAAACCAAGATCGGAGGCTCGCACATGGAGGACTTGCGCGAAACATTCCAAGCTATGAGGGCCAACAACCTGAGGCTCAACCCGTTGAAGTGCGTGTTCAACGCGGAAGCAGGGAAATTCCTCGGGTTTATGATCACCAAACGCGGCATAGAGGCGGACCCCAAACAAGTAGAGGCGATCCAACAGCTAAAGTCGCCAAGAAACGCCACAGAGATACAAACCCTGGCGGGAAAAATGAACGCGCTAGGCCGGTTCATACCTCGATCGGCGGACAAATGCGCCCCTTTCTTCCAAACGTTGAAGAAGGGAACCAGGTTCAAGTGGACACCAAGTTGTGAAGCGGCATTTACAGAGCTGAAGAAACACCTTGCATCTCCCCCTGTAATGACTGCACCCGTTATCAATGAAAAGCTCTTTCTGTACCTTGCCGTGTCGCACCAGGCAGTGAGCGCAGTCCTAGTATCCCAAAGAGAAAGCGTTGAAAAGCCAGTATACTACACGTCGCGCACTCTCAATAAGGCCGAACAGAAATACCCCGCGATAGAAAAGGCGGCCCTGGCACTGGTCAGCGCATCCCAGAAACTCAGGCCATACTTCCAGGCGCATGAAATAGTAGTACTTACTAATCTCCCTCTCAAACGCATTCTGAGTACCATGGATGTTGCGGGCAGGCTCGTCAAGTGGGCGGTCGCGTTGTCAGAATTCGACGTCAATTATGCACCACGCCCGTCCATCAAGGCACAAGTACTCGCCGACTTCGTGGCGGAAGGGGTTGTGTCAGAGGCCACAGAAGAGGGGACTTGGGTGGTCAGTGTCGACGGAGCCGCGAGCAAACATGGAGCGGGCGCGGGAGTCGTCATTCGGACGCCCCTGGGCGTGGTCCACGAAATCGCCATACGATTCCGAAAGCTGAAAACAAATAACGCGTCAGAATACGAGGCCGTGCTTGCAGGCCTCAAAACGGCCAAGGAGTTGGGCGCCCAAACCGTTAAGATCATCTCCGATTCGGCATTAGTGGTCAACCAGCTCAACGGAGTTTTCGACGCCAAAGAGGACACATTGACAGAATACATGCGCCAAGTAGCAGAGGCCGCGACCACCTTCGAATCAGTCACATACACACATGTGCCCCGTGAAGAAAACATGCACGCAGACGCACTCTCCAAGCTCGCTACTGCGACGGACTTCGAAGAGACGCGTATGGTGTGTGTGCAGAAAGAGAGCCTGACGCAAGGTGAAGGGCGGGTGAATGTGACGCAAAACGCTATCGAGGATTGGCGCACTCCCATCATTAATTACTTGATAAGCGGAACGGTACCAGAGGATCCGAAGGAAGCATGGGGTTTAAGGCAAAGAGCGGCCAGAAGCACAATGGTGGGCGGTGAGCTGTATAAGAGGGCGCACTCAGGTGTCTACTTGAAGTGCGTAGGTCAGGACGACGCCCGCCGCATCGTGGTTGACCTACATGAGGGGATGTGCGGAATGCACATGGGAGCGCGTAGCCTGGAAAGAAACATATTGCTCAGTGGGTACTATTGGCCACGCATTAA